CCTTTAAGCTGATCATTTATTTAGTTTGTGACTGCCTAATTCAACATTTAAAATTTTTATTTTCTGCACTTCAGTATGTCTGTGGTTTATTTTTCAAATGACCTTTAAAACCCAGAACACAGACACCAAAGCAATACTTGCAAGTCACATTGCAGCAGTGAAAATGGCCAGAAATTTGAGGAGAAATGTTCTGAATGCAGGGAAGCTTTCAAGGTGTGAGTATAGAGTTTCACTCCTCTGACTGTCCTTCAAAATGAGGATAATCCCATTTGGCAAAATTTAAAAATTAGAGTTTGGTCAGTAGGATAACTGAACAAAAATTATCCCCTTCCCGCTCCGAACAACTAACCCAGCTCTAGTCGCTCTCTGTAGTCACCAAAACAAACAAACAAACAAGCAAAAGAACATCAACACACACACACACACACACACGAAAATTGTGGGGGCTGAGGCTTTTAAATCTGAAGGCTCGGTTTCTTTACCTACTCCATTCTCTACTGCCTCCTTCCCGTGTCTTTCCAAGCATACACGTGCACTCTCGAGTAAGACACCGTTTGTGTCTGCTGATAAATTTTGAGGACTGTGAACTAGGGGCGCACAGCGTTTTGTAGGTATTTCGTAAACACCCGAACCATGGGGTCCTGTGTTCCAAAAGCTTGAATCAAATCACGCCAGCAGGGACCGCTGCCTTCCCAGACGCGGTTCACTCGCTGCGTACCGACAACGGTCAGAGAAGTCGTCCCAGTAACTGACGTTCAGGTGAGGAGGCAAGGAGACAGTCTCAGCCGGTTCCATCTGCCAGGGGAGAAAGTCTAAAGGGCTGTGCACAGAACCAAACTCCAGATCCGGGAAGCCCTGGGCTCCAAGCAGAGCTGCCCACCGTGGCTCGCCTTTGCTGCTGCGCCACCAACTGGCCAGACGTCCTGGGCAGCTCTCACCACTCTCCCGTCCCCTGGGGAACCCGCACCGCCTACCGGCAATTCTACACCCTCCGCCGGCTCTGCTGAGGACCTGGAACAATCTAAGCCCCGAAGTTCCCGCGGTAGGTCCGCCGTCAGCCTGGAATTCTTTTTCTTGAAGACACCTCGGTGGTCGTAGACGCTAACGTTAGGAGGTCCCCACGACCAGGCACCACGGGTCCGAGAGCTGTGCTCCAGCTCGGGCATCAGCAGACCCACGGACACCGGCGGCTCGTGCGGGTGTCCTCGCGCCAGCGCAGCCCAGGGCGCATGAAGGCTGGGCGCGGGGCCTGTGCGGGTCCCCGGGCGGGCGCGCGTGCAGCTCCAGCAGCCGGGCTCCAGCGCCCGCAGCCAGGCCATCGTCTTTAGAGCCAGGTACCACCTCCTCCTAGGGCCCACTCGCGCAGCTGTGCGGCCCTCCCCCACTCCCACTGCTGGGCCACTGCTTGATGATAAGCCACAAGTCAGAGGGGATCTAGAGAAGTTTTCAAAATTGAAAAAGTTTCTGTGAATGGTGAATGTGCGTCGCGCTTGCGTGAGTTCATAGGAAGCCGGAAGAGGGGGAAGCTGGAAGAGGGGGGCGGGCCCTATAGAACCGGCCTTAAAGCTGTGAGCTGATGGGGGTGCTAAGAATTGAACCCGGGTCCTCTGCATGAGAAATGTGGGCAGTGGGTGAACTGTGCATCTAATCATGTAGTTTTGATTTTTCATGTTTCTGACAGGTAAAGAGATTGAACACTTTTCAGGATTACCATTTGGTCATTGTGATTTTTTTATGACTGTATATTTAACTCATATATATATGTATATTTAACTCATATATAAATATATTTATATAAATACTGTATATATATGAGTTAAATATAGAGTATTTATATAAATATATTAATATATATTTAGAATTGGGGAGTTTATTTTTGTAGCATATCACGCACACACACACACACACACACACACACACACACACACAGTATTTTGACATTGCGTTTCACCTCCTCCGACAAGTCTATTCCTGCATCAGAACAGGTTTCAGTCTGACCTTTAGCAGTTTCCTTGGCCTTGTGTTGACAAACTTTTCACTCCTGTCAGCTTTTCAAGGTTTCATTGTGTAAGATTTGCAGAGAAAACTGGAGGAGAGAGAGGCAGTGTTTGATTTCCAGTTGATCTGGCCTGGTAGAGCATGAAACACAGGTTAACTGTCAAGCGTTTGGGGAGCGGGCTAGGACTGAACTTACTCTGCTGACGCCCTTGGTGGGATATGACTGTCACGAGACATGACAGGCTCTGGAACATTTGATTAATTTGGACTGGCGCATATATTGGGTTTTAGGTGCTAAAGAATTCAAGGTGAAATGGGGGCAGGACAGCAGATGATGGAGCCTGTCTGGTGTCAAAAGCAAATGCGACAAGATTTGTATTGAGTCAGAGTTCCCAGGGAAACTTTTATTTGTCAGAAAACCAACTGCGAGGCTAGTGAGCCTCTGAAAGGCTTTAAATGCCTGGGCAACCTTTTATTTACCAGGGAGAGGAAAGAGGCAGTAAGTAACAGAATAGTACTAGTTGGGTGTTTTTTGGGTTTTGTTTGTTTGTTTGTTTGTTTGTTTTTAAGATTAAACTTGTCCTAGAACAGCTATTTCCCACAGAAAACATACTACGTAAGTTTTTCCTCTGCCCAGAACATATCGTGAGGGAGCATGGGTGTTTGCCCAGCCTAGGGCCCTTTCAACAGACAGGTAAGGCAGTTGGAGAACGGACAGTACCAGAACCAGCCTGGCAGAACTGGGAGCCAACCCCAGTCGCAGGCACGGCTAGCAAGAGCACAGCCGTGATGGTGCATAAGAAAAGTTGGTAAACACCCTTTCTCCACTGTGCATGAACAGGAACGCGTCGTTATGTCGTCACCAAGTCGAAACCATGTGGTCTCGGGTTTGCACGACTGGCTCCTTGGTCTCAGACCTTTGGACTTAGGCTGAGTTAGCGTAGATGCCAGCACCTGGACTTCTCAGCTTCTAGAATCACATGACTTAAGTTTGCCAAATAAACATGTGAGAAGATGTTTTTAGAATGCTTAATCATTAGGGAAGCACAAAGGTCACAATGAACTAGTAAGGGTAATTTTTTAACTAAAAGTACCAAGTACTGGTAAGAATGATAACCAACAAACAGTCTTCTCTCTGCTGGTGGAAATGCAAAGGATTACAGCTTGGGAAATAAGACTAAATATACTAGTTTTTACATTTTCTAATAACCTTACTCCTGGTCATTGATGGACATAAAAACTTATATTCTCACCAACTTGGAGGAAGAAAAATACAGATACGGATAGATGCTCAGAAATTCCGGAGCCCGAACTCAAAAGTCATATGCTTTTTATCTCTTAAACAGGTTAACTATGGTAACCTTGTAAGTTGGTATTCTTCAGTACAAAAGGATAGTCCCTGTGAGTCTAGTCTAGTATGCAAGGAGATTAGAGTTGGCCACTCACGATACCAAAAAAAGAAAAAAAAAAAGAAAGAAAGAAAAGTCCATTGTTTCTCTTAGAACCATAGAGACTGAGACCATGAGAAGCAAGCACAATTTCAAACAGATGTGAGTGAGCACTTCCCGTGGTTCTTCCCTGGGCTGAGCACAGAAAAAATTCAACAAGATACCAAACTCCCACATTCTACCCGAAAGTGATTTCCCTGCTCATTCCCAGACAATGCCAGCAGATCAGGGTTCTAACTGGCCTGGATGTGATTGCTGGCACGGTGGCTCATTAGTAGACCCCCCTCAGATAGAACTTCAGGGAAGGGATTAAAACACATCACACAGTGGCTAAACAGAAACTTCATAGCTGAATAACATAACTGAATGGAAATCTTCAGTGAGGAGGTTTAACATCAGGTCAGGTCAAGATCAGAAAAGATCAACCAGCTTGGACACATATCCCTGAAAATCAACCAATCTGAAAATAGAAAAGGAAAAAGAATGTAAAAATGTAAAGATGAATTACAAAATGGATACCGGGCAGATATTGTCTTGAGAGTACCAGATAAGCCAGAAAGTCAGAAAGCTTATAAAGAAAAAAAGAAAATTGCAAGTTCTTCCTGATATTTTTTTTATTTTAAAAATATGTAGGATCTAAGAATTTAAGTGTACAAAGAAAAAAAAAAAAACGGCAGGTCTGAAAGGAGAAGTTGATGGCAATGCAAAATTAGTAACATGACTTCGTGTCCACTTTTCAGTGTGGCTAGAAAATCCAGGAGACAGGTGCAGTACCACATGCCTGTGATCTGGGCACCCAGGACACAAAGGCTGGGGAAGTGAGCCAAGCCTTCACCCTGCCAGGCAGGCACTCTACAAGCCGAGCTGCATCCCCAGAAACGTCAAGATGATGCAGCCGTACGGCACAGTAGAAAACCCCCCTGTGTGTTATTATAAGCTGCAAAAGGCTCAATACTTCAACTTCGATATTCTCCAGGTGATCTTGGCTTTACCGTTCTCTGCATCAAAGCCTGAACAAGTGCATCGTGAGTAAGGACACACAGGCAAGTTGCTCTAACCTCGGGCTGTACCCCAGTCACAAGCAAGAACATAGGACTGTTTGGTAAACATTTATTATTAAAGAGTGCAATACAAATTCAGATACCATGTATATCTGTATACATACCCTAGGGCCGGGTGGGGGATGGAAAACACTAGCAGGGATCCAGAATAAGAAGTGATAATATAGGTGAGAATTGGAATTTGAAAGACTGGTGTTACATTGCTGGGTCCATGACCCACGGGTCCTACTAAAATTAAACGTGGCCTGTGAGGAAGGAAGAAAAAAAAATGTTTGTCACAACACAACTTAACAAAAACAAAAACAAACTACCCCAAACTGGAAACTATAGATACAATCGTTTAAAGAATAGTCGCAGGTGTGTTCTCCACAAACTGTTGAGAGTGTCGAGTGCAGTTACATGATGCAGTGGAATATATTCGCAAAAACATTTTGGAGAAGTCAGGGCGGGGGAGATCAGGTTCAGTTGTAGAGCTCTTGCTTAGCGTGAGAGAGACCTGGGGCTCCATCAGCAGCCCCACAAAAAATACATTTTAAGGAAGTAACTGCTGGGTCATTCCACTATTAGAAGGTTAAAAATGGGCGCTAGGATCTTTCTTTCAGAGGCATCTTAGAAAATGTCTCTTGTGGGGTAATGAGAAAAATACTGGTGTCAAGGAATTTAATTTAAAGTATTTCCTAAAGAAAGGCAACCAAGAAACAAAGCACACAGAAACACTGGCAGGCTAAAGCCATAGGATCTTGCAACCACTGCAAACTTGCCTGCTGTGTGCCCTGTACCCCTGTCCTCTGGGGACAAAGGAGTCAAGAGGATGTGGCAGAGTGCCCACTGAGTGTCTCGGGATTCCCAGGCACACCCGTGGGAGGCCCTGATACTCACAGCTACTTCACAAAGAGAATGGGCATGTCCTTTTTGTTTATGCAGCAGAGGTAATGAGTACCACAGAGAATGTGAAAAAATTCATCTCCTGAACATGAAGACCTGCAAACGCCTTTTCCTACCCAGCACGAAGAGAAAAGTCGCTTTATGTAAATATTCATTCCACTTCTGACTGCGAACAGAAAAATAAAAGGTTACTGTACAGTTACTGTCCTCCAGCGTCACATGGCCAAGGATAAATTAGACTGCAGGCACTTTATACATTTCAAGAAGAAACTCTCCATAACCAAATATGCCCGTCACATCTTACAGCTACATGGCCCTTAGAGTTGTTTTGACCTCAACTTCCAGGGGCCCTACTATGAGCCATTAGCTCCCATGGTCCGAAACTGCCTTGAACCACTGATCGTTCATATGCGAATATGAGCATAGTAGGTTCAGCTTGCAGCTATTTTCTATGTGAAAAGATCAAAAAGTGAAGATGTCCCAGGCATATGCAGACTCCATGCCAAGAGCTATGAGCATCTCCCAGGTAGCTTTTGATTGTCAAAACTTCTGTCTGAAGAAAAGAAGATCGATAGCCTAGAATTCAGAAACCCCCTGATCCCAGTTCTAGGCTTCTAATAACTTTCAGGATGGCTTTTTTTTTATGTGCCCCATCACTTGCCCTAGCTTAATTACAGAGGACTCAGAAGTGTTCTGTGGGATAATGTGTAAGCAACAGCTGGAAGTACCTAAAACCTATGCCTGAAGCTAGCAACGTTGAGACCTAAGTGCCTCTGGAAGCCAAGAAATGATGGACAGGCGGTAGGCGACAGTGTATGGGAATGGGATCATCGGCTCTTCTGTGATAGGCCTCGTTCAGGGTGTCCTGCAGTGTCTGTCTTTTAAAGGTTTCACGCTTGGTCCTTAAGTGGCAGCTTTTGAATTAGGTTTGAGGTAGGAAAAATATTATTTACGGACACCCCCAGAAAACTACAAGCCTAACCATTTTTTTAAGCCCCCACTCCAGTTGCTTAGCGGAGTCTTCTCCATATTCTTACATTCCTCGCTCTGTTCAGAGCACAGAAAGTCTGGGATCCCAGAAAGTCTGGGATCCCACTGTGCTACAAAGTAATTTAAAACCGGCTGACAAATGGCTCTGCTTTTAGGTTCTTCTCATTGTAACATTTGCCTTGACTTCTAAATCAATGAAAAGGGTATGTGGACAGCTGACCAGGAGGGGCAAGCTCCAAGAGTCTTCAAGAAAATCTTCCCTTCCACTCCGTATCCCATCTGTGCACTGAGAGTTTCATCACCCCACTCTGCCCCACTTCTGCCAACATCAGTCCAGCCTTGCCCACAAGCTTCATAGATGCCCAAGACTCAAATACAGAACCAGTTTCTTCTCTGGAGAGAGCTACCTCTTGTTATGTCCTTGGCGTCTTCTCTTCGCTACGTCAGCCCACACCATCCATCTCTGCCCGTGTCCCTCTGTGTTTCTACCTCTGTGCTCTCAGCCGGGCCTTTGTCTCGGTCTTCTAGAACCACAACTCCCACCCCGATTCCAGGAAAGCAATTCATTTTACCTGATGGAATGTGGGAGAGTAAGACAAAGATCACCAGGATCAACTGTAGGCTCCCCATGGCCCAACCGGTGAGCAGAAAGTCAGCTGAGACGCAAGGAAGAGCCACTCACTCTCCTATCTCAAAAAGTAGCTTTTGAGATGGAAGAACCTGCTTGGCTACTGAACCTCTGAGAACAGGAACATCTGCCCGCTCCACTGAGCAGCCAAATAAATGCAAAATCTGACTTTGAATGCAGCATCTCATCCCTATGACCTGCTTGCTTGGCTGCCGCTTGTGAGCTAGGAACCCGATTTGTGATGTGTTAGTGCTCTCATCCTGAGACCTACTGGGATTCAGTGTAGATATCTTTGCGCCCTCGGAGCACACTCATTTAACAAATGCCTGGTGTGTTTACAAAGCTGTAAGTCTAGTTCACACCACTGGAAGTGTAGGTGGTAGTGATTTTCACTCTTATTCGTTCAAAACTCAGGTGGGAATTCTCCCCGTTTGCAAAACAAGTCCTCTGAACTGTAACTCATCAACTGTAAGTCATCAACGGCAAGCAGTGCAATGTACACATAGGTCTTGCTGACTCCTAATATTTGAAAGTTGAAGACCGGCCTGGCAGGATTCTAGTTTGGCTGCAAGCACTTTTAGAAAATAAGAGCTCCCCAAAGGGTACAGGAGCACCCTCACAGTACCACCAACATCCAAGACAGCACACCTAGCCATAGCCTCCTACGGGGCGTGGCAATGTGTTTAGGCATGTGCTGGAGAACAGGAGGTGTGCTCAGGAAGCATGACAAAAATCTTTGCTCTGAAGCCTGGGGGCCGACAGTTCTTGGCAGCTTTGGGGGTGTTTTACAGAAGAGGTACAGTGTTGTATGAAGAATGGAGAGCCCTTAGGGAGTAACGCTGAGCAAGCACTACTCTATACTCTACGTAGCAGCTTCACGGGCTTTTAATAAAGCACTAAACAACCGTATTCTTACCTGTATATTTAAAGTAAGTCCATATGACAAACAAAGACCTTTAAAACAGAGGTGATTCTCTTTCAACCAGAGGACAAACAAACAAACAAACAAAAAACCAGCACTAGAAACCACCTCCTCCATCACTGTCCTGGGGCTGGGGCTTGGTTCAGTGCTAGAGCCTGTGTCTCAGATGTGCATTGTAGGTTTGATCCTAGCAATAAAGGAACAAACAAATAAATAAAAATAAAAAACAAATGATACTGTCACTGTGCCCTATGCTTTGTTCACTATACTACTATGTACATAGATGATGGGTGGATGGATTACTAGATAGGTAGGTAAAGATAGAGAGAGAGAGATAGAGAGATAGATAGATGATAGATAGGTAGATAGATAGATAGATAGATAGATAAATAGATAGATACCAATTTACCACTTCAGTGAGCTCTTATTTTCAAACTTCAAGAATCTTATACCATGATATAGGTTCATATCTATGAAAGACTCGTGGAAGACCTACCGAGCAGAAAATCAGCAAACCATGAAGAGAAAATCTGAGGTCAGTGCCGTGAGAGACAGTCTTAAAGAGCATGCTCCAATCATTAGGTACAGCCAAACTGGCTCTCCCATGAGCTTTTCTCCTTCAATCAATCACCTTTACCTCCATTTCAAGCCTCCCACTGTGCCCTCCAGAATCCCAACTCCACTCTACATAGTCTTTTGTCCTTATTCCCCCCCCCCCAAAAAAAAAGATGCTTCTATTTCTGTGTGAGTGAAGTTCTGGGTTCTCTGTGGGTACTCTTTCTGGGCAGCCTCTGCAGTCTGGAAGTGATTCATCTGGGGCATCACAAGCCATGGGACAAGCAAGCTGCTTCTTTTGATTTCCTCACAGCCCATGCCCCTTCCGTAACAGAGCCTGCTGTGAAACTGGTACCTCTTTTCTTCTCTCCACTCACACCGAGTTCATCATTACACCTTACCAGTTTTACCTCAGACATATAGTTCACACCCGCCTACTTTTCTGCGCCTCCACTGCTGCCACTCAATCCAAGTCATCACCATCTGTCCCTAAACTTAGTGACCTTCTGCTCGGTCTTGTGTATCATGTTTAGATACTTACCATCCACCCTCCACTCAGTAACTGAAATGGCCTTTATAGGATCAAAACCTGCTCATGAATTTGCCCTTCAAAGGTTCCACTGTGATATCTACTAACACAGACAACTAAGTGTGTGCTGTCCTGGTTTGCTTTCTGCTGTTGGGATAAAACACCATGGTCAAAAGCAAGTTGGAGAGCAGAGCATTATTATTATTATTATTATTATTATTATTATTATTATTATTATTAT